CCCCCCCAAAAAAAAATATGCAGATTTCGTTGGCAGGAAGTGATTCCTCGAACCAGGCAAGGTAGGAAGCTGAAAATTTGCAGGAATAATCTCTATGCACATGCGAGAGAAAGATTTTAAACTCAGCTGTCGAGCGCGCTTGTGAAGCACGTACGATCACGTTAAAGTTTGCGACTTGGTACTACGCTAACTCGAAAACTTGCCGAAAAACTGTAGCTGAAATTTTGTCAGGATGCTTGTCTCCCATGTAGGAAATCTTGTACCTAAAATGAGTACCGATTTATACTTGCGCCACAAGTTATGGCACTTCAAACATGTTTGTACCGAATTGGATATTTCGCTTACTGGATGCGAGGCTGAAATTTCGCTTGAATATTCTACTTTCAAGTGTGGTCTTAATTCTGCTTGGAGGTGGAATTCCCTGCAGGTGGGCGTGAGAAATATTCAACTTTACCGGAAAATTAGAAGCGAGTGCGTTTTGCAGCGAACGACCGCCCTCACCAAAATATGTAAATGAACATTAGTTCATTTGCGTACTTGGATTTCTTGACAAACGACCGCTCGAGCAATATTTCCATTTTTTAGTGAACAGGAAAATTGCATTTTTTCAAAAAATTTGAATTTTTCATTTTTTCACAAAGCGAGCATTTACCGAAAAAAAAAACGACCGGACTTCATGTAAAAAATGGTAATCATGCGCTTAGATGTGCATGCGGCTCTATAATGTACCACCTTCATCCCAACCGACGCCCTTCCTCCTGCATGCGGGAAGGGGTCAAAGTACGGCCAATATGAGCCCAAGTGTTAGGCTACAGTGGCTACAGTGATCATTCCTGCTATTAGCGATCTGCGAGTTTAGTGCAGAAACGCATGATCGCACCACCCGGCAAGCCTGGTGCTTTTCAGCCTGGGTTTGCTTGATTGTGTAGAAAATTTGCGTTCTTGCTTGATCTGTGCAACAACTTTGCTTTTTGCATAAGTTATACATGAGCGTGTCATCGCAAAATCATTGATCTGTATGTGAGTTATTTTGGAGGCAAAAAGCAGAGGTGTAAGCGTATAACTCATGCAAAAATTTAATTAAAATCAAACTTGCACTGATGAAAAAAGCGAAAAAAAAGGGAAAAGCTAATAAAAACTGAACTTATGCGAGTGGAAATTGTTATGCGAAAACCCATCTTCATTAGGAGACTTCGCTATTTAGGAAGCTGATGTTTAGGTGAAACTGAGGATGAATGAGTTCGATTTACTCGAAAATTCCACATAATGATTTGAGTGTATTGCCTTCGACAGCCTGCAACTGTGTTCAACGCTTACACCTCTGCTTTTTGCCCCCAAAATTTCACAGAACCAAAAGCTGACTTTATCCCCCGTGTATCCAGTCTACTCCTTTTTTTGGCCCAGTTCATATCCTGCAGCGAACTTTTTCGCCCTCGGCTTCACCTAAGCGTCAGCATCACAGATAGGGAAGTTTTTTACAAACCATAGGCGGATCCAAGACTCCTGGAGGGGACGACGAGCGGCAGAGGGAGAGTGGGCTCCTGGGGAAGCGATAGGAGAGAAGGGTGGGGGTGGGGAAGAGAGTCCCTTCCCAGCCTGGAACTCTGCAAAAACTTGGAATAGAATTGTAACAGTGCTACTTGGAGTTACTTTAGGCTTTCTTTCCTCACTCTTTTCTTCCTTTTCTTTCCTTACTTTCTCCCTCCTTCCTCCTGTCTTTTCACACGGCACATTCCCCACTTTACATGGTGGTTAGGGGGCTGTACTGATGATTCCCACCCCTAGCCACACCTTCACTTGTCAATGTTTACAGCTAGGGGATAAAACACAGACAAATATCCCTACATATTCTTCCCACATGCGCAATCAACATGTCACACTGTTTATAACACATGTTCATACGTACCACCTCCCACTTTTTATGAGTTTTTGCCTATATGCAGATTGCAAAAGCGCATATTGAGACGACCCCGTCTGTGAGTATATGTATGTGTGTGTGTTTCTGTGTGTGTATATTTGATGTGTGCGTGTGTTCGTCTGTCCGGGTATTTCAACTCGGCAACCAAGCAAGTTCCAGCGCCGAGATTTTGCTAATGGGTACCCCGCCAAGTACCACCCCGGAACCGCGGTACCATCCCTCGCGCACGTCTGGCCACGCGTACGAGAGGGGGGAGTTTTGGCGGGAAAATTGAAAACTCGGGAACGCGAAAAGATAAGAAGCTGAAGTTTTGAGGTTATGTTCCCCGTCCAAATATAACTCAAAGATTTCAAATTCAGCCTCCAGGTGCGCGTGGTTCCCGCGTACGGCCCCCCTGAGATTTTTCGGCGGGGAAATGGCTAACTCGGGAACTAGCAAAGCTGGGAAGCTGAAATTTTCAGGGAATGTTCCTAGCCCATGTGCAATTTAAGTTCATCAAATTCATCCCCCAGGCTTGCGCGGTTCCCAAGTACGGCCCCGCGGGATTTTTTGGCCGTAAAATGGCTAACTCGGGAATTAGTAAAGATGGGAAGCTGAAATTTTCAGGGAATGTCTCCAGTTCACTTACGACTTAAAGTTGTATTAACTTCAGCCCCCAGACGTGCGTGGTTCTCGTGCACGGGCACTTAAATTTTTGGCGGGAAATTAATCATTGAAAGGCCGGGCCATTTTCAAAAGACGACCGCTAAACGGATATTGTTTATTTTCTTTTATGCAAAATTTACAATGAGTTACGGTACTGAGAGCACAAGGTAGGTGTAAAGAAAAACAACCATTCATGCAGTTAACCTAATTATTTCAAGTCTGGTGCAAAAGCGCATGATCGCACCGGTTCGCCTGGTGCGTTCCAGCTTGGGTTTCCCCTCCATTAGCTTGTTTCACATAAAATATTAAACTCGAATCTTCCCATTCCTTTCTATCTATTTAGTTTACTTAAGTTTTAGCTTTAGACCCGGAATTTTGCAGCACTGGTGCCTGCGCCGCCAAAGGCCCTTCGCTTTCCCCCTCCTCTCTGCCCCGCCCCTCTCCCTCCTCCTCGGATCCGCCTATGCTGCGAACGATAGGTTTTTATCGGACAATTTTCACCCACAT